AGAGAAACGCTGGCGTACGCTAGCGTGCCGCTAGCGTACGCCAGCGTGCCGCTGGTGACGCTGGTGAAGCTAGATCGATATGCATCCTCTCTTCGGCACTGCCGCTGGCGTACGCTGGAAGCGCTACGCTACGCTACGCTACGCTGCCGCAAAGTATAAACGCAGCCTTATGAAGAGATGCCCATTCACGACATTCAATGTGTTGCGGTCCAGTACTTTCGCGCGCATCGATTGCCTCGCGCCCCACAGAAAGAACCGGAGACTTCGCGTACAAGATAATGTGCCTTGTCTACATCGCCCAGTTTTTTCAAATTCGGGAGAATGGCGAAAGCTCGCGCGAATTTGTGTTGAGCTCACAGGAAATAATTATGTATCAAAGCCGCAGAAATCCCAAAGTATTCTGACATAGGATCTGGAATCAAACTCTCTACAGACACCGACACTAGTGATCATATAGGAGTGTGTAAAGTGGAAGTTCGCCTGCTGTTCTTGGTGCATCCGTGAAAGATATAAATAACCAGCAAAACAACAAAACCCTTGACAAAACGCTCAAGAATTGTTTCTGCCTTCCCTCCCCAAATAAGAGGGCTACATATATTTGCCTCGTTAACCTTGGGTCAATCCTCACTCCAGATTCGCATAACCTATAGGGAGATTTAAGAACAGTGCACAGACTCCGTTTCGTGATGGTTATGTTTGAGGATATCCCTCAAAATGTGTTAAAAGCTTTGAAAAGATTAGCGAAATCGCTGAGCAAAGAAAGGCCACCCAATTTAGTTATCCTAGCAAGCAAGACAGAAATGAAGTTGGCAGGTCACTCACCAGATCCCAAAAACAAAGCTATATTACCCTCAGTTCAACCCGTTTTGCTCCAGCATTACCTAAAGAGCCGGAAATGAGTATGTGACAGAATGTCAAGTCCCCTCTTTCAACATATTTCTATTCTTATCAGGAAACAACATTCTAAAAAAGAAATTCTCAAAAGTCCCATATTCCTCGCACTGACCGACGCATAGATTGTATAAAGATTACGTAAAACTGCACATTTATACGCAGGAAGTAAGCAGGGTTTTATAGTATTGGAGTAAGATGAACTGTTTCTTCTCTGCTCTTTTCAACTCCAAGAAAAAACGGATTTCGTACTGTCTGTTATGCAAGTGTATAGCTAAGCAAACTTAACAAAACCCTACCTGCTTACACACTTCACAGTCCTTCTTCAAACGTATACTTCGCCTCACGCCTTCAAGCGCACGCTTCGGTGCAACAAGGTGTGTTCATTGGTCTTCTCCAGTATGCGGCCTATGACAGCTTCTGGCGAAACTACTGGCTGAAAAATAATTCGGAATGCAAGACCAGATATGGCTTAGCAGTTACCTGCCACTATATGATTCGTTTACTTGATAGAAAACAACGTCTGTAACTCAGTATGGTGCATAAAAGAAGTGAAATCACCTTGGGCATTGCCATACTGTGCTCATTCAGTTCTCCGTTTGTGGTCAAGTAAAATGTAGAGCTTGGTGCATCAAACGTTGTTTCAACGTCATCTTTTGCCTAAAGCAAGTTTCTGTCAATTAGAATAAATGTATCCACAAGGCAACACTGAGTTATACACCAGCAACAGAACCAATTCAAGTGCAGAGGAAACGCTACTAAAAACCCTTCTCCTTCGAGGCGCATTCTTTCGGAGGCAGTCTGTCCTGTTACACTCCAGCCTTTGTTTGGAGACATGTTAGAGTTGTCATGACGCTACAATGACTCGGGTCAAGACCGATCTTCCGTCGCCGCTTCACATACTTATGAACAACATGTACTTAAAACACAGTCACCCGAAAGCCCTGCTCCTCAATCTAGCCCACCTATTTTCCCCATTCATCCTTTCGACCCTGTATAAGAAGAAGCAAACAGGTGAAGTACACAGAGCGCGCCGCACTGACACGCTGCTTAATTAGATATGTGAATTGAGATAGAGCACAGCGATGAAGGCGCGATATATGTCGATTACGTCTCAAGAAACTCGAACCTACACGATCACAAGTATCGGCGTCTTACCATGCAAGCAATTTCGTAGAGGGCTCGGCGACACACAGGAAGGAGAGGGTGGGGGGGGGAGGTTTCGTAACATTCTGCTAGCTTCCCATCGACAGTGGTCGACCCAGCTGTAGGGCCCATCTCGTGAGCTTACAAGAGCTGTCAGGTTTACCATGGTGGTTCAACAAGCTTGCGTCGACCCGTCACCGATCGCGCCATTTCGAATGCTCAAGTGATATATTCGCGTGGATGTTGACCTGCGCGGACACATCACGCGGATGGAATTCTACCAAAATTCAAAATGAATGCGCAAGAATGCTTTAGATTCCCTTTCAATGCAATGGTATTAACCAAAGAGTTATAAACTAAAATGTCTTTCATCAGATTTTCGGTTGGTAAGCACGCACAGCTTGCCCCCTGATTATCCGAAGACATGTAAATGTTATTTCAAGAAATGACAAACCTTTTTCGTTTCTACACCATTCAATTGGCTATCTCCTCTAGCTCGTTCTTCAGCGCTCATAGTTGAAGAGTTATCATCACTGACTGGTCCAAGTAATTCCTCGATAAGATTTTGAGCAGACTCTGAAGTCGACGGGGCACTTGTCAGTGGAGGGGTCTCCGATGACATGGAAATGATGCCCTAGAGAATTGTGAGAAGACATATCAACTGCAACTATGTCAGCGGTTTCTCGCTGTCCTTCCTGTATTTTCTACTCCCAAATATTCATAGTACTTCTTTGATTATTTCAACAACTTACGTGTACCACGCCATCTTCCTTCAGCCCTCTAACACTTCGCAAGCGCGCCGCTTGCAGAACTTGCATCCACTCATCTCGTACACGATTAGACGAACATTCCAGCAGGAAGTTGTCATTACCAGATCTATTCAAGTGAAAAAACCATCGGACACACAATTCAAAAATGTAAAAGACAGTGTAATCTTTTTAAGCATCCAACCATCCCACATCTATTATTAACACATTCGAGGCGAAGGCGTCATTTCGCCCAGAAGTCACGTTCGTTGTTGTTTTTGGTATATTTTACAATTTTTTCTCCGCAATGATGTGTTGATTGTGTAAATATATTCTAATGGAACATAACAACATAAGTCGCAAAAAGAACAAATAAAAATATGCGCGCGTTTTCGCAATACTGTCGAATCCGAAAAAGGGGTTTCGCGCGTGCTTCGGGGAGTATAGACGCCTGCCGAATTGTTTAGAGCAGCGTGTATATCTTCTTATGTGGCTCTCTGAGCGTTCGCCTGAACGAAAAGCAAAGTCTAGATGTCGAACCACTTAGAGCGTTCTGCCCAAAACGCTCAGAATCTTATCGTTTTCCCCAAAACGCTGGATCAACACCTACACTTTCCTTCGCCCAAAATGCCCTGAACGCCGACGAAAAGTATGAACGCTGTCTCGTTGCGGACGTGAAAGATGTTCAAGAAGAATTCAAGCTAAAAAACAGATACAAAATAATAAGGATAACTCAAGGGCTTTTACAGTTTCTAGTTCCTTGATAAAAAAATGAGAATGAAAGCTAATGATTGTCGAAGGAGAATCGAAGACATGAAGTACATCAAGCATCCAAACACTCACAGTATGTGAAATCGACCAGTTTCGCGAGGATCATAAGTCAATGCCATACAAGCTAATGGTATACGTCCGTCACATTTCAGTGAGTCGTGGTCTTTGTACCAGTAAAAATAAGGTGAAACATTATCGACAACATACCAGTAGCGACGACGGTTAATCAGACCCATCGCTCTTACTTCGACCTAAAAAGGAACAATCCACTCTTTCTGAACTAAAAGTACTGTGGAATCAACTGCTTCCAACTGCATCCGTTCTCAGTGATTTACAAAGTTAATATGGCTCAGAAGGAGGAAGTGCTGTAATGACAAATGGATTGCTTATGACTCGCGCGAGGCTTAGGCTGTGTAGCCAGTACGGGTGATCAACCAACGCATGAGTTTATGAGCGATAGTCCAGTCACCGTAAACATTGCAAGCCCAAAGTATATAAAATACGTACTATTACCTTGACACAACTTTATGTAGTCCGTTTACTACTTGCGCGGTCAAAAGACAAGCCCCAGATCGATCCTAGAATAAGCGTTACACCCTCCTGAGGGTGTAAACCGATGGATGAAGCACTGCCTTCTACATTGCCTAGCCGCACAGTTCATTGTATTGTATAGGGCATATTGCATTTAGTAGGTCATCAAGATTTTGAACAGAAATAAGCATGCGAGCCGCATGCTAAAAGCAGAATGAGTAACGGCGAAAGCTTTACCTTCGGGAGAGGAAATTGATCGTATACATATCACTGAGATAACAGTTCCACCGGAACATCGGGATAAGTCGCTGTCGCTCGATCGAACGCAAGTCTTTCTGGGTCATTTTCACGCCGAGGCAGCAATCAGTATCTCCGGCCCAGACTACGACGCAAAGGGTAGCCCTTGAGAGCTTACAGAATACTTTCATTAATGAATCAAAAATGGATGCTCTGCACCATGCAACTAGCTACGTATTCCAGAAAAAGGTCCCGCGGTTTGCAAAACAGAATTCTAACGACATAGTTTAGATTCCGTCTCGGCACTGTTGTAGCGAAACTCCAGAGATCTTAAAGAAAGGATTCCAACCTCGAAATCACAGGGCTGCTCCGCAATTATGCCACTTCTCCAGGGTTTCTTGAGCTCTTCAGCTATGAAGGATGGGGCACCACCTAGTCGTGACCATGAGGCTTGTCCCTGTTCCTTTTGGGGGGGGGGGGTATTATTGAGTACATTTTGGGCACATTTCCTCATGATCTTCCAGGTGCAGTAAACTTTGATGGTGCACCGCATAAGCAACGTGTTTTTTTGCCACCCCCTCCCCCCTCCCTTCCCTGCCCTATAAATCTTGAACAGTGGAGAGTAACTACGTATTTGGACTAACTGTGACAAAATCGAAAGAGAACCGCTCTTGAAACAGATCAGTAGTTCCACAAGATTTTATAAAATACCCTCCCGTCCCCTTAATTGTGCAGTTTCGTAGCAGATCCATATCTAACACGCGCAGAGAACCAAATGTTCACGGTCCTTTAGTAAGAAAGCTGCACGCAAACCTATCCCTTTTTGGGATGCGACACGCACTATACTTCCATGTAGTATTGTAGTGGCTTACTGAACGCGATATGGCCTATACAATGAAACTGCGGGGTAGCATATGTACACTCATTGTGTTCCTAAACACTCAGACGAAGCTGCTATCGGTTTAAGTAGAAGGCTTGGTTGGCCTGTTAGGTAGCCAATCCGGGCTTTGATCCGCGCGTGGTAAGCGTGTCACTAGCCACTACACCTCCTCACAGTTCTTTTGAATGCCGAAATATTCGCTTCCTTACAAAGCAATCCTTAGTACAACACTCGTATTTTGTCATATTCATCAAGCCTGAATGAGGCTACTTTTCAAAGAATATGTATCAATAATTTACCAAAGACATATATCCAGCTTTGCATGTGTTCTCTTCAGACTGAGGCGAACGTGTTGGTGACGAAAAGGTGGACGACGATGACATTGCCTCCGGTAAGTCGTCCGCAAACCTGAAATTCCGTCATTTAGGCGAAACATGCGGAAAGAGAAACGCGCGATCGGGGATGTTTTGGCACAGCATCTTATCTTTTAGCATCTGACGAACGGCAGACGATTTAAAGACGAGTTAGCACGCACGTGAATGATTTACGATACTAATAAACCATCAACTGATTAGGACTAGAGAAAAATTTGTGAAAGTGTGAGGCAAAAACCTTTCCTTGAATACATAACTTGACAAAGAAATTTCCCTGCCTTTTCTCCCGATAGGACAGAGTAGGTAGAGGAGCAGGAAAAGAAGAACAGAAATGGCGAGAACAGAAAAAATGACCGAGGGTTAAAACTCCGTGACTACCATGAAGCTGAAAACGAAACCGAAAAAAGACGAGCTCTGTCTAGTGCTAGTCAAAAAGTTTGACGTGGTGGGAAATATGGGCAAGTAGCGCCTGACCCTTTGAGCCTAATGCTAAGGCCTTTGCTTTTGTGACTCCTCTACAGAAAAGTCAAAAAACTGCAAACTTTCCAGCAAAATTATCGATCAAGCGGTCGACTGGATTGACACTTGAAGCCGCCGTAAAAACGCGCTCCAATCCTAACTCCTTGTACTGGGACTTCTCCCACTTTTCCTCCTCTGTGTCTCTTCCCAAGGTCAGACACCAGACGGTTGAGCGCGTTGCACGCA